AGATAGGTGCCTGTGCCACAGTGCCATTTTCCATATTGTGGCCATCCTCCCTGCAGTCTTTCTCCTGATCCTCACAGGTAGCAAGTACACTGTACCTATTAAATACACGACCTCCTTAAACACACCTAAATCCCCACTACCCTACCTCAGTCAAATCCTCCCTTTCCTGAACCTGTTTTCCTTCTACTTGGATGACATCTGGATAAAATTCCCACATATTGCTCTCCCTTGTATCAGTCTCTCCAAGTTGCAGTTTAGTAATTTTAAACCATAGAAAGTCAAGAATGAGATTGTCCCAAGCAGACATCTACAGGGAACGTCTCGTAATCCACAAGCTTCCACGTTCTGCAGTCCAGGCACAGTATCTGCTCTACCATGTCTTAGGCTAGTTTTATTTAATTCATTCATTAAAGCCTTTCGTCGACGTCTATTTGTAGTCCTGTTAAGTAATTTAATTAGTTATTTACAAATTTGTGGTCCTAGTTTAGATATTTTTTAATCAAATGTTGTTATACTCCTCTGGAACTGGTGGGTTTTGAACCCAGGCCTTCTGGCTCAGATAGGGTCACAATAACTCTGCTACATGACCTCTCTTTGATCCTAGTTTAGACTACTCTGGGTTAAACAATCACTTATCTGCTGCATTAATAGTTCCAGGTTTCAGTGCTCAAGTCATCTTGTCATCTTCTGTCTGACTTTGTAAAACAGCAATACTGAGCATCCTCGGACTCCAGACCAAATTCTCTCTCTCATTTCCCAAATTGATTCTTCGGTTGCCTAATTATTCTTTCTTTAAGTAAATTATTGATTTTACATCACAAGTCCTACCACTTTTTTTTTTCTCTAACTGGTATCGTCATACAATTTTATTTGATAACAATTCTATGTAAAGGTAGTCTAGTCATATAGCATGGAAACAGAAGCATTGGTCCATTTGCCTGAGCCAAGCCTTTGAAAGAGCTATTCAGTTGAGCCCATGTTCATGCACTATCCCTGCAATTCTCTTGCTATTTATTTAATTCCCTTGTGAAAATTATTTTGAATTTGCTTCCAACATTGCACTGCAGTGTTTTGGTGATGTATTTTAGGTCGTGACTTGTGTGCTTAAATAACTGCAACAGCAACTTAAAGTTAACGGAATAAAGCATCTCGAAGGTACTTCCATTGGAGCATTTGGAAGCAAATTTGACACACAACCATGTAAAGCTACCAGAACAAATGGCAAAAAATTGGCCAAAAGTAGGCTTAAAGGTAAAGAGATGGTGAGGTTAGAGCCTTGATGCCTGATGGCGGAGTAATTAAAATTGGGGTTTCTTGAGACCAACGTTAGAGGGGGACAGATAATTTGGAGTATTATGGACTGGAGGAAATGGAGATAGGGAGGGCCGATGTCATAGAGGGATTTGAAAACTGCGGTGATGACTTAAAAATTAAGGTTTTGGTTAACCAGGGTTGACAGTATAGGTCAATGAATACAGTGGTGATGTTTCAATGGGACTTGGTGTGTGTAAGGACCGGGATAATAGGTTTTGGATGAACTTAAGTTGGCAGAAGGTATGATAGCAGAGGCCTGCCAGAGGTGCATTGGAATAGTCATTATTAGAGGTAATCAGGGCATGAATGAGAGTTTCAGTAGCAGGTGAACAGTGTGAGATAGACGTGAGAGAGGTCACCAAAATAGAAATCTGCACTTTGGTGATGTCACACATGACATCATGATTACAAGCATTCAAGTTCAGCCACGGATAATTGCCAGGAAGAAGGATGAAGTTTGTCATGGAGACCAAAGACGGTGATTTCAGTATTCCCAAAGTTTATTCGAGGGAGTTTCTATTCATCCAGCATTGGATGTTGGACACGCAGCCTCATAATTGAAGACGTGGGAGTGTCCAAGGAGGTGGTGTTAACATGAGGTGGGGGTTTGTGAATGTATCCCCAGTTTATCCCTCAATCTTTTGCGAAATACTTTTAAATCTCTGTCTTCTGTTTGTTTACCTACCCTCCTGCCATTGAGAAGATTTTCTCTTTTCAGGAATACCTCGGACGAATCTACTAACCTTCCCTCCTCTCGGGAGAACAATTCTAGCTTCACTACACTTTCCCAATAAACTAAAGTCCCATAACCCTGGTACCGTTATTGTAAATTGCTTTTGTACCCAGCCTGAGCCCTTGGAATCCTTTCTAAAGATGGGTGCCCAAAATTTCGATGCAGTAATCCATCAACTAGGAGTAGAAGAGCAGAGATGTACTGTTGAGGCTGTATGAGTCTCTGGTCAGGCTGCATTTGGAATATTGTGGCAGTTTTAGGCCCTGTATCTAAAGAAAGATGTGTTGGCATTGGAGGGGATCCGGGGGAAGTTTACAAAAATGATCACTGGGACGAAGGGCTTTTCATATGAGGAGAGGTTTGAAGACTCTGGAACTGTACTTTTTGGAGTTTAGTAGGATGATGGGAGATTTGATTGAAACTTGGAGTACTGAGAGGCATGGATTCAGTTGACGGGAGAAGATGTAGTAGGAGAGGCTGGGACCCAAGGGCACAACCTTAGAGTGAAGGGTTGATTCTTTAGAACTGAGATGAGGAATTTCTTAAGCCAGAGGATGCTGAATTTGTGGAACTCTTGCCCAGAGTCTGGATGCCAAGTCATTCAATGTCTTTAAACTGAGAGATTGATATGTTTTTGATTAAATAAGGGTTTCAAGGTTTGACGGGAGAGTGGATTTGAAAAACACATCAGCCATGATCAAATGTTGAAGTAGACTCAATGGGCTGAATGGCCTAACTCTGCTCTTGTATCATATGCTTGTATGATCTGGGCTTTGACCCTTTTAAGGATTTGGCAAAATGTCCTCTGCTTTGTCACCCATTCTGGTTAGAAAACCAAGGATCCCACATGCATTATTTAACAGCTAAATAAATCCAAAAATAACTATTAGTCTCTGTAATGGTCTTATGTGACTATTTAAAGACTTATGTGGTTCATTCATGTCCTTTAGGAAGGAAAACTGCCATTCTTGCTCAATCTGGTTTGCATATATTTCCAGAATGTGTTTCAGTCTTAACTGCCTTCTGAAATGGCCTAGAAAGTCATTCAATTATTCTCAGGAAGATGACCCATCACTCCACGCTCAAAGACAACTAGAGATAAGATATATAAATACTGGCCTTGCCAGTAACCTCCTCTGCTTAGGTATACATTATTTCCTAATATTGGTTATAACTGATTCAGACAGTGCTGTGTAAAATAGTTGACTGAATCTATTATAGCACTTACTCATGATGTTACCCTAAAAACACGAAAATATTTGTGACATGGTTTATATTAAAGTACTGTATTTTTGTTTTTATAAACTGATTAAAGGTACCTTATTGATGTAGAAGAAGTGGACCCTGAGACATCAATTGAACGTATGTATCTTAATTAAGCGAAATCCTTTCATTCAATCATTAAAAAATGGATCTTGAGTGACATTTGCTTGTCGTTTTTAAATTTAAGTTTTCAATACTGCTCGTGGCCACAAAATGGATGGAAGCATATATTTGACTGACCTTCGAAGTGGACCAATGAGAAGGTGATTATATGGCTTCTGAAAAAATTATTTGGTCTTATTCTAGAACTTTATAATTATAATTATTTAACATGCAATTTTGTTGTGTTTTAATCTTAGGATGCTTGGTCAGTCTATCCTGTAAGTAGCTGAGCTATCCATACCAAGAACATTTCAGGTTCAATTTGTAGTTAGCTTCTCAATTAGCATAGTGAAGAGTCACATTTGGATGCAGTGTCCTCTTGTAAGGAGAGAAAAATCAGTCTGGTTTCCCATTCCAAATCACTGTGCAGTAACTTCTACTGGAAGTGTAGAAATTCAATTTGGAGATTGGAGTCTGGCTGTTTACTGTGCTCCTCCAGTCAAATAGTTTTGTCAGATATTCATTCTGTGAAATTTCTTGTGTTAATATTGATCACTTGGTAAGTTACCAAAGGCACTTGCTAGCCATGGAACTTATCCCAGTAAGAAGACTTTGACTGTTCAATTGGGAAAGGGTGACATTTTTTTAAGTGCATTTTTTACCCATAGTTGTGGGCAGATGATCTTGAATTCATATAACATCTTTTAAATTTTTTTTTAAAAAGTGTTGAGGCACTTTGCAGATCAGCTTAAAGGAAACAGATGCAGAACCAAGAAGGGGAAAGCATTAGGTCAAACAATTGAAAGATTTGAAGTTGAAGTGATTTTTAAACATGAAGTGAAGAAGTGGGTGTGGGTTTATAATGGAGTTCTAGAGCGTAACGCCCGGGTGATTGAAGGCTACCAATGATGCAAGCAAGATTTTATATGCAATCAGCAAAACATATTCACAATCACTTACAGGACTGCAGAAGATTGTGCATTTTGAGGGAGTAGTAGCATAGGGAAATTAAGGTAAATAATTTTGAGTACATTTGGAAATAGCAAACAGAATATATTAGCAGAGCCCTGAATTAGCAGGGCACAGTGTTGGAATAATACAGTAGGGTTTTGCTCAAATCATAGTTCACAGAGGGAGGGCAATGAGAGGCCAACAAATAGAACCTGAATTAGTCAAGTCTGGAGGTAACAGTACACCAATTGCAGCCACAACAGGTTAGATGATGAGAGAAGCATGGTGTTGCAGAGCCGGAAGTAGAGGTCTTTGTGCACTTAAGTAAAAGTAGACAATGAGCCACAGGAGTTAAAAAGGCAGTGATGCCTTCCATGCTGGTGAATATCATTGGAGGCACAAAGATCACTTAGTGAGATTCAAACTTGTATGGTAGCAGTAAGGATTGTTGAGTGGCAATGAAGAGCAGGTGTAGGATCAAGAGGACCTTGATGCTAAAGATTGAAGAAATGAAGATTGATTTATTAAGGGGAACAGAAGCTAGTCGCGCCAAGAAGGGGCTAAAAAAGGAGCGATGTACTTGGATTCAAGCCAAGAGGCACGTGTGACTGAATATGGAGGGAATCCTGGATTAGTAAAGATTATATCTTTACATTAAGACGATAGAGGTCTTTTCATCGAGAAAGCAAACAAAAAATATGAACAGACCTAAAGATGAGAGTTGTGGGACAACCATGGAATGACGTTCACTTGTGGATAAGGTGACAGGAAGCTGAAATCGGTCTTGGGGTCACATTTATATACATTAGTGTATATTTAATGTCATTGAGGAAAATGAATATTATCACCAAGTTTGCAGATGTCATAAAAATAGGAGGAAGGCAAGTGGTGAGGAGACCACAGATTCTGCAGAGGGATATATGTAGATAGGTTTAGCAAGTGGGCAAAAACTAGGCAGATGGAAAATATTGTAGGGAAATGTGAGGCTATGTGATTTGGCAAAAAGAATAGAGCAGCTTAATAAATGGAGAAAGATCTCTGGAATAGAGAAATTTGAGTGTTGTCATGTTTGAATCATAAAAAGCTAGTATCAGAGTTCAATAGGATAATAGGGAAGGCAAATTGAATGTTTGAACTAGGGAACTTTTCTAAAACTATACAAGGCAATAGCCAGACCACTGCTGAAATACTGCAGTTTTGGCCCCTCTTCTAAGGAAAGATGTACTGGCATTGAAAGCAATCCACAGAAGGTGAACTAGGCTGATAACTTCAAGTATGGAAGGACTATCTCATGAGGAGTGATCGAGTAGTTTTGGCCTCTGGTCATTGGAATATAGAGGAATGAGAGGCAGTTTTATTGAAACAGACAGGATTCTTAGAGGTCTTAACTGGGTAGATATAGAGAGGTTGTTTCCACTTAGTGGCGAGTCAGAAAACCATTATGAGAGCGGAGAGTCCGGAGATCTGGAAAATGACACGAGAGGAGAGAGGCCTCAGAGACTGGGAAAAGGGCCTGACTGGAGTGGGCCAAGAGCCGTTAAATAGTGAGGGGGAGAGGCCCATAAGCTAGAAAACTGTCCCAGACCAGAGACAGTCAAGAGCATAAAAACATGCAAGACAGGAGAGGCCTAAAAGCTGGAATAGAACACCAGACTGGAGATTGTTGAGAACCAGAAAACAGCACTCGACCAGAGAGGCATAAGGGCCCTAAGGAAATGAACCGGCGGAGGATGAATAAGAAAGCTTTAGAGAGATATGGGACTAGCTCAATATGAGGAACCCTGATCAGCATGGACGAGCTGAAAGGAAATGTCTGTTTCTGTGCTTTATGACTGTAAGCTTTATAGGCTGTCTGGTTCAGAGTTACTACAGAGGAGGTAACATCAAGTACCACTGAAATTGTAGAACATCAGCCAAAGCATTACTGAATGTTGAACTAAAATGTCCATTGGACTCTAAGTCAGAGGAGGAATGGAAAATTGACCAAAAATCCAATGGAATTCATGAAAGAAAGTTCAAAGTATCTTTAGATACCAGCAGAAAAGACTCAAGAATTTAAGGGACTAATGGAAATGGTAGGTGGATAAAATGAAGTGCAGAAATGGGAGTGAAAATCAGAATGTGATTGAAAGAAATGGAAAGAATAATTAGAACAGAAAGAAGGGATGATGTTGGTAAAACCATTTTTTTTAAACTAGAGGGCTACATATTGCTCAAGATGAAAATATTTCTGATGTATAACTAAAGCAGCGCAGGGGATTAAACTGGAAATGGAAACAGGAACTGAAATAGTAAGGGCAGCATCATGCTTTTTTAAATGTCAGTAAAGCTGGTGGATATTTGTGTTTGGTCATGTTATAATACAGAAGGAAGTACAGGTAACACTCATAACACTAGTCAAAGAACTTATGAACTATTGACTAAAGAAAGCCGTAACAATGTTTGAATTTGATGGCAAAGTATAAAAACGAATTCAATATCTCTGGTCACTTATTGCCCAGAACCAGATAAATAACAATCGAGGTGGCTGGATTGTTGTAAAAATCCCATTAATCACTAGTAAACTGTAGGGGAATAGCATATTCTGGGATTATTTTCCTTTGCATATATACTAGATATTTTTCTTCGGGGTGTGTGTGAATACACCTTGATTTCCTCCCCTTTAAGGAAAGACTGATGCTTATAAATAAAGAAGAAAAAATGCAAACAATTTTACACTCTGTGCAACAGGTCTGATAGAGGATTTTAATTAAGGATGGCATGATGTTTGAGGTGTGAATCCTTCAGATTCAATGAAGAACCTGTACTAAACTGGTGTTGTGTACACAGCTTCTGTGCTGCTTTATGTTTTTGTTTCTTGTTGCCCTCTGCAGTTGCCTACTAATTATAAACAATTGTTGCAGAACATGATCATGAGAGTGACGTTACTTGCACTGATCCAAGTGACGGATGAAGACCAGACATGCCACAAATGTCTGGGAACTGGTGTCCAAGTTAGGATAGCTGACCCTCGGGCAGTCAGGCAACAATTTGGTATAGTTGTAACTCCTCATATAAATTTGCCAGCTTCCAAATATCCCAATCAGTGGATGTTTGCTGTCCCATGAATGGGATGTATGACATGGCCTAGAAGGGTCTTAACATTGACCCCAAAAGCCCTTAAGTGTTCCATGACTTCAGGTCAGCCAAAGCTAGGGAAACCTGACTTCTAGCTAGTACTCTTTTCCTCAATTGTGTGTTTCTTATTTTGAACAGACTTGTCATGTGTGTATATATATATTTGCTATTGTGTATATATATTTGCTATTGTTGAATCTCTCTATTTACAGTAATTTAGGAATTGACGTGTTTGATGCAGAACCAGAACCAGAACCAGAACCAGAAATACTGGAGCCTTTCCCTTCATATTCTTATAAAGGACCACATGGCCCGAGACCACTGCTTGATGATTTTCCAGAGTAAGGAATTAAATTTACTTTTCCGTAGATGATGTGGAACTGTTACGTATGAAATATTTCAGCACCGTTTTATAAATTTTTGTTTCTAATTCAGACTTTTAAATTAAAGGAATTTTTGTATCTTGGAAACAACTATGTTTGTAAGACCTTTGGAATACACAAGTATCTTCATAAGGAAAGTGTGTATTAAATATCTGCTCCGTAACTATTTGTGAAAGATGTTTTGTAGGAGTTAGAGTTAGGTAGTACTTAACTGTTCCCATTAAAACCTCCCATTTTTGGAGGTTTGGCACATTTGGCAATTTCCTGTGTTTTGACTGGGAGCCTTGTTCTGGGGTATAAATCTGGATCAGATTTATCAGCAGAGACCAAACCAATATGGGATTATGATATAAATCAGTCAAGCTACTCTGAGCCATGACAATGTTTTACAATGAAATACTTCCCTTCTGTGGTCCTTCGAATCATTTCCTTTTACACTCTGAACAAGTTACACATGCAACTTCATCCCAACGTTTATATAGGTTTTACTTCTGTGTATACATTTGTAGCAGTTAGTTTTAGAAATTTACTCATGACAGATATCATTTCACTTGTTAGTCATCTAGTATCTGTGTGATGTACTAAGAAACCAAATAATACTGCTTTTCTCTCTCTTTCACTGTGAAATAAGACCAGATTCACGACGTGGACCATCATATGGAGCTCTACCTCTTTCAGCTAGAGATTTTGATGCTCCCCCTTATAATAGGTGGCATGACAGGTAACCGCTTTCAGTACTTGCATCTGTTTGCTTTGTTAAGCTAAGTGGGGTCATAAGAACAGAAGTTGGCTATTTACCCTCTGAAGCCTGTTCAACTATTGCGAGCTCTCAAATGATCTGTGACCTAATTTCATAGGTATCTTTGCTCCATAACCTTTGTTTAGCAAAATCTCAGTTGCAGCAAGGATATTTTTTTCCCCACAATATGTTAACTTTTAGATTGCCGGCTGGTCTATGAAATTCACATTCTCTCTGGTTCATATATTTTTGTAACACAGCAGGTCAGGCAGCATCCGAGGAGCAGGAAAGCTGACGTTTTGGGTCCGGGACCCTTCTTCTGAAGTGGGAGCCGTTTCTGAAGAAGGGTTCTGACCCAAAATGTCAGCTTTCCTGCTCCTCTGATGCTGCCTGGCCTGCTGTGTTCCTCCAGCTCCACATTGTGTTATCTCTGACTCCAGCATCAGCAGTTCTTACTATCTCATATTTTTGAAATTTTTTAACACTCTAGTACAAAAAAAGTCACTACAGAAACAGATTAGTTGCTTTTATCTTATCAATAAAGAATTAATTGCATGTTTTTACTGAAGTTTTATGATCTGCTTATTTCTGTTATATCTTTTGTTGTCTGTACCTTGTCTTTGCTTTAAAGTTTCATAAAGGAAACGTTAAGCATTGAAAATTCTGATATTTTAAATTTCAAAAGAATAACTGTTAAATGCTTTACTTGTTGACTGCTTCTTTTTGGCTTCTGGCGTGTAAATTATTATGGTCTGGTCTGGTCTGATGTGATGGGTCTGGTCTGGTAATAGACTCCTACAGCACAGAGACAGGCCCTTTGGCTCAAACTGGTCCATGCTGACCAAAATGTCCATCCACGCTAGCCCCATTTCCCTGCATTTGGCCCATATGCTTCTAAACCTTGCCTATCCATGTATTAATCCGAATGCCTTTTTAAATGTTGTTAATGTACCCACCTCAACCACTTCCACTGGCAGCACATTCCATACCCGTACCACCCTCTGTGTAAAAAAAAAAAAAAAAAAAAGTTGGTCTCCAGGTTCCCATGTATTCTTTCCCCTCGTATCTTAAACTTTAGACCCTTTTAGTCCTCGATTCCCCAACCCTGGGAAAAAGACTGAGTCTATTCACCCTGTCCATGCCTCTCATGATCTTATACACTTCTACAAGATCCCACCTCAGTCTCCATACTCAATGCTTTGACTGATGAAGGCCAGCATGCCAAAAGCTGCCTTCACTGCCCTTTCTACCTGTGACTCCACTTTCAGTGAACCATCCACCTGAACTCCAAGGTCCCTCTGTTCCACTACACTCCTTAAGGCCCTACCATTCACCATGAAACTTCTTGATTTGACTTTCCAAAATGCAACCCCTCACACTTACCTATATTAAAATGCATTTGCCATTTCTCAGCCCACTTCCCCAGCTAATCAATATCCTGCTGCGATTTCTGATAACCATCCTCTTTATCCGCAATACCACCTATTTTAGTGTCATCCTAAAACTTACTTATCATGTCTTGTACATTCTTATCTAAATCATTGATATAGGTAACAAACAGCAATGGGACCAGCACCAACCCCTGAAGCACACCACTAGTCACAGGCCTCCGGTCCAACAAGCATCCTTCTTCTATTACTCTCTGCTTCCTACCATCAAGCCAATTGTGTATCCAATTTTCCAGCTCTCCATAGATTCCATGCGATCTAACCTTCCAGAGCCAGCCTACCATCTGGCCTTACTGAAATCCATGTAGACTACATCAACTACCCTGCCCTCGCCAGTCTTCCTGGTCACTTCATCAAGGAACTCTCAACAAATTTGTGAGGCATGATCACCCATGCTGACTACTCCTAATCAAACCCTGTCTTTCCAAATGCATGTATATCTTATCCCTCAGAATCTTCTCGAGTATCTTACCTGCCACAGATGTTAAGCTGACTGGTCTAAAATTCCCAGGTTTTTCTTTGCAGCCCTCCTTGAATGATGGCACAACATTGGCTACCCTGTAGTCTTCCGGGACATCACCTGTGGTTAACGATGATGCAAATATATCCACCAGGGCCCCTTGCAATTTCTGCTCCAGCCTTTTGCAGAGTTCTTGGATATATCTTGTCAGGACCAGGAGATTTATCCACCTTCATACATTCTTATACTTCCAATAGTCTGGTCTGAGATTTCATATTTTTAGTGTTCTTACTGTTAAGTGTGTCTTGTTACAAATCAGTGTCCAATATTAAGACTAAAAAAAGTTTATGTAGCACAAATTATCTTTCCACTTGAACAGAAATTTCTTGACTGTGAATATCCTTTGTCTGTTCATGCTGGCAAAATGCTATTTGTAGTTGAGTTTGAATTACTTTAGCAATGAGGAAAAACAAATACATGATAGGTATTGTACCACCTTTTATACAAGTGCACATCACCAAATAGATGCTCATATTTAACTTTCAAATAGTTCTTGTCTAAAGTATATTTATGACACATTGTGTTTTTAGAGCAGCAAATGTGACCTTACTATGATACTATATTGCATTCAAACGTAATGCAGAATTCTAAATTCTGAACCTAGGGTCTTAAATCAGAAAGGAAGAAATTATAAAGGTATGAAGGGCAAGTTGGCTTAATTAGATTGGGAAAATATGCTAAAAGATTTGACGCAGATGGCTAGTATTTAAATACTACACGGAAACAATATATATTACTTATAGGCACAAGCACTCAAAGGAAAAGAAAATCAAGTGTAGTTAATGAAACAAGTTGCAAGATTGAAATAGATCAAATTAAGTGATTATAAGGATTCCAGCAATGTAAGCCTGAGGATTACGAGCAAGTTAGAATCCAGCAAAATAGGATCAAAAAATTGAGTAAAAAAGGAAGTATGAATGCAAATTATCAAGAACCACAAGGTAAACTCCCAAAAGTTTCTCTAGAACTATGAAAAGGAGAAGATTTGCTACGACAAATGTGGGCCTAATACAGGTGCAGACAGACTATTTTGTCTTGGAGAACAGGGGGCTGGCAAAGAAACCAAACAGTTACTTTGCATCTGCCTTAGCAGAAGATAAAATGCCCATGAGCATGTGGTGACCAAAGGGCTTGTTAAACTGAGGAACTAAAAGAATTAACATTAAATAGTTCAGAGATAGTAGGAACTGCAGATGCTGGAGAATCCG